ATTGTGGTAGCAGTTGTACAATACTGCTTGATGTGATTGAACTATGGAATGCTATGACATCTGTAAGAGCTCTTAATAAAATGATTTTTGAAAAAACCAACTGGGTGCTTTACCAAGCCACTCACTGTGTTACAAATTCCCAAGTGTTTTTACTTTTTTAAAAAAAGTAACAATTTCTTCTGCTTTGAGAGTCTCCTATATAGGCTAGCATATATTTTTAAGAAAATCTCAAGATCAGGAGGGGTATTATACAAATACCTTCTGTCTCTATCATATTGGGGAAAATTTTGCTCATAATTATAGTTAGAATGATTTGATGGGTGTACCTAGTCATTAAATTGATTGAATTGAGTCATTATTAGTATAAAATGGGAATACTACTATTGCTAGAATAGAGTGCAATGTTTATTTTTATATCAGTTCATTGAAACCACAATTAGCTAAATATATTAAATGATCCAATGTAGACCTCCAATATTTAATGACAATATCAGGGTCTAGCAATGGATATCTTATTGAAATATTTTGGTAACCTCTAGTTACCTAATTTGATCACTGATTAAAAGTGTAATATTGAACTCAAGAGGCAAGCGAATTTTGGGAATGATGAGGGCAACAAATGTATAGATGTGCTCTACACAATTGATCTATGTATTGTGATGAATTTTATGAGCCCCAATAAATTGATTTTTTTTAAAAAGTATAATATGTAATCTTTAGGAACTCATATATAAAAGGAACTCATCAAAAATAAATATATTCTAGGAGTCTTCCTTGAAGATGGATATAAACCAAAACTCACTGTGATTTCAGCTCATAGCCACCTCTACGTAAGGGCTCTGAAACTAAATCTTTATGGAAGTAGATAGCCTCAACTTTCTCGTTAGGAGCAGCTGATGGGTTTGAGCTATTAACCTTGTGATTCTTTTTTTTCCCTTTCCTCCATGTTTCTTCTCCACATGGACTAGCACTGTGGTGCCTGCCGTGCTGAATTATGGTGTTTGCAGGGCAACTTTTTGTTTGAAGTTATATTGGGATGACTTTGTATCTTATATTAGGACAACTGGTTAGGGTCTTTATTTTCTGGTTAATTTTTAGAATATTAAAGTTTTTTTTTTTTCCCTAGGAATGCCCAAAAAGAGGATCGTGTTCCAGTGCTTGAGGAGTACAGGGAGTACAAGAAAATTAAAGCCAAACTTAGGCTTCTTGAAGTTCTTATCAGCAAACAAGATTCTTCAAAATCCATATAAAACATCCTTTGAAACATCATAAAATCAGTTATATTCCTTGCTACCATCATGTATTCTTGGCTGGTACTTGATTTCGTTTTGTTAGGCACACAGAGCTTCAATTTGTACTCGGTTGTGGTGCCACTAAAGAAATTATGGGAGGGTAAGTAGGCCCTCTACAGGGAGCTTAAGTGATGTTCAGATTAGCCACAGCTCGATCTCTCCATCTTTAGTAAAAATGCAGTTTCCTTCACTGTTTTGTACTACAGATAAATCCTGTCCTCTAAAGACTAGAATTTCATCCTTTCAACTTCAAGAACTTTGGAAATACAAGTTTTTCGTTATTATCAACTTTATTATATTTTGCCATTACTGAAGAAAATTGAGAGGAAAATCTTCACACCACACTGAATTCTTCGCTTGCCTTTTTCTTACAGAATGACTGGAAATTTGAAAGAAAAGCCTATAAAAGTGCAAATATGCAACTGTGTTCTATCTTTTCCTAGCAAACCAAAATCAGACTGACAATTCAAGTCCAACTATGGAGCCACCTTTTTGTTCACTTCCCAAAATGACACTTTCTCACAGGTAGTATGCTAGCAAAATCTCATACTTCAGTGGTCACACAACTTCTGAATGAAGATAACAGTGGGTAGACCAAAAAGTGGCCTTGTTTTAAGTATAATAAAAATATACATCACACACACAATTGAATTATATCACATGCTGCCTATGGGACTTACGTTACTATTTGTTTTCTCAGTTACCTGTGTATCAGCTGGTGATGATGTGATTTGTCTGGGTCAGATCTGAGTTGTTTCCCCCACCCACCTCCAGATAATGTGAGAAAATTGCCATGTCAGTATGCAGGAAGTTTGTTGGTGCTCTGACTTGTATGTTCAATCAACAGGGCCTACATTGGCAAAATAGTCATTATGCCTAAAGTAAATTTATTTTTAACAAGGGCTAATACCACTGCAATTTTTACATGTATCTTCAGGGGGGTCGCATTGTTTTGTTTCTTTTAATCGGCAAAATTCACACCAAAACATCCTTTTGCTCGATCACATGTTGTTTAAAGCAGCTGGTTATGAGATGTGTAGTGGTATGCCCCTTGACACATACTGTAAGCATATCTTTTTTCATTGGCTTTGCATGGCTTTCTTAAGGTAATCTACCTGTATTGTTCTAATTTTTTTCATAGAATGGTGAGTTTATTTGTGCTAACAATACAACAGTCATTAATAGCTGATTCTGGTCAGGCTTAATCTAAGTGTTAATTTTTCTCCCCCTGGTGCGTTTTTGGATTGATAAGTGTCTTGTTTTGACTGTGGCCATGTTTTGCATGCAGTGATTCATGCATGGTTTTCTTACTAGCTAATAGTAACAGTTATGTATCAAAACAGACTTTTGCAACATCCTTTAATAAGGTGAGGGAAGCATGAACCTCGGGTTTCTGGCATTATTACATAGTAAGCACATGAAGTAGCTTGATAATAAATAGTGTTTCTAGTACTTCAGATTTCACCTGTGTGTGCAATGCCTTTGGGGGGGGGAGGGGGAGGGAAAACGCAGTGGTAGTGAATGTGTAGTTGGGGAATAAAACAAGCACTAAATCCAGCCCTTTTTTGCATGGTTTCCTTTTGATACAGCTAGGTTATTCATAATATATACCTTGAAAAGTAAAATTGAAACACCAGAAAATGTGTCACTTGGGTTTGAATCCATCATGCAGTGTGCATTTTAGTTCATTTCTCTCCGTCTCCAGACAGGAGTGTATCTAAACATCAGATTTAATGTGCACTGTGTATTGTTTTATGTGAATGTTTGTGTTTTATATGCCACATGCAAAAATGTCCATATGCACTATTTAAATGTTTTAAATAATATATTCCTTCTTTATAATGCTTAAATCTATATGAGTACCATATTTTTATAAGTCAGTGGCCTGACTGGTTTCATTTTAAAATTAACAGCTGCTTCATGATGTTTGTTACTCAATGTTAATGTTTGGCTGTTAAGTAGAATAGATAAAAGTGGCATGGCAGCACTTACACTATGTGACAGTATTGTGTGTCATAGTTGAGCAGTAGATGGTAGAAATAGGCAATCTGATAGTTTTACCTTAGTACAAGTCAAAACTGTATATCTATATACAGATAATATATAGATATATATGTCCACCCGTGTAATTGCATTACTGTGTCTGGCACTTCATTGTATAGACTTTTGTAATAAAAGAACTTAATCTTAATGTTCAAATACTGTAAATGTTTTGGTTTTTTTCCCCCCAGTAGGTAGTGTTTTTGTTTTTGTTCTTGTTTTTGTTACGAAACCACATGGGGACTGGCTGCAGCTCTGGGAAGTGGTATGCTAGACAAAAGCCATCCTGTTAATTCCTATGGCTATCTAGGGAGACGGTTTAGAGGACAATCAGTATTTCTTATTGCAGTGAACTACCCTATGAAGAAAATTTGATATACAATAGAACAGGAAGTTGGCATGTTGCAGGTGGGTGGTGATTAGAACATTACTCGATGAGTTTTAGAATCCAGGAATTCTTAGCATAGAGTAGTTCTGTTATAGTGGGTAACACTGGGCTAGTAACTTCATGGTCTGCAGTTCAAACCTACCAGCCAACTCGAATGGACAAAGATGAGGCTTTCTGCTCCCATAACAATTTACAGCCTCAGAAACCCACAGGGGTCTTTTCTTTACAGGGTTGTTGTGAGCTGTAGTTGACTTGGTGAGGTTTGTTTTATTAAGCATTGATGTGGAAGTTTGAGAGCTATGGTTAAGTTATGCTACTTGGCCTAAGAACATGTGACTGACTTTTAGGAGGGCATATGTGGCCTAGAAATGTTGCAAATTGCTATCTGGTGTCCAAAACAGATGGCAGCTAACCTAGCAAGATACTTGCAATATCGTGATTTATACTTTTCAAACACAATTACGTATGTACTCATACTCCAACTTTTTTTAAAACCTGCTTTTAAAGTACTTGAGGAAAACTGGGAAGATAATGCTTTGAAAATGATGGCGGCATATTTGCAAATAAATGTACTTGACACATTGGAGGAATGTATGGATTGTGATAAGAGATGTAAGAGCCCCCAATAAAAGTTGGGTTGTGTTTTTTTAAGTAGTTGAGGAGGCACACTTGGGAAATTTTAAAAGAACTTTAGAACCTTTATAGATGAATTTCTACTTTGAAGATAAGTTTCTAAAAGTGGTTGGAGTCTTGTACATTTTGACTTTTTCCAAGAGTTTCAGAATTGGGAGGATGGGAGTTGATTTCCCCCGCCCAGGTTGTTTAAGTATGAACTTAGGGAAACTGGCAGTTGTAAAAAAGATGATACCTAACGATCGAGATCCTAGGCATTAATAACCTGAAATGGACATTTTGAATTGGATAATCATGATTTACTGTGCTGGGAATGACAAAGTCAAGGGAAATGGAGTCACATTCATTATCAGAGCCCTTCAAGATCTGTGATAGGATAATATCTATACACCTACAGAGAAAAACTGGTAACAGCCATTCAAATTTATGCATCAACCACTAAGGCTAGTGAAGAAAAAAATTGAGGAATTCTACCAACTTCTTTAGTCTGAAATTGATCAAACATACAACTAAAATTCAGTGATAATTATTGGGTATTTGAATACGAAATTAAGAATAAAGAGGAAAACTCGGTAGTTAGAAAATTATAGAAATGGCTAAAGACCACATGATAGAATTGCAAAATCGACTCCTTCAATACCTTTTTTTCAACAACAGGGCAACAACTATACATGTGGACTTTGCCAAATTAAATACACAGGGCTGAAAACTGACTACAACCTTGGGAAGAGATGATGAAGAAACTCAGTATTACCAGCCGAAACAAGGCCAGGCAACAGGAACAGCCCATCAATTGCTTAAAATCCATGAAACCAAATGCGACCCTAAGTATATGCCACCTGAATTGAGAGAACATCTCAAGAACAAACTTGACACATTGAACTTGAATGACAGGAGACTTACAGAGGTATGGGTTTGCATCAAGAACATCATACATGAAGAAAACAACTCTGCTATTGAGTTGGTTCTGACTCATAGTGACTCTATGGGACTGAGTAGAACTGTCTCTGTGGTTATCCAAGATTAAATTGTTAGGGAGCAGAAAGCTTCCTCTTTTTCCCACAGGGTAGCTGGTGATTTTGAAATGCAGACTTTGCTATTAGCAGCCCAAGTGTAACCCACTATGCCAGCAGGGCCTTGGAGAAAATTAAAAGTAATCAAAAAGTCAGTGAAGAAAAGACTATAACCTGTATGTCAGATCAGCAGAGACTCTGAAACTTGCTGTTTAATATGGCGTAGCTAGAACAAATGGAAGAAATGATGAAGTGAAAGCTGAACAGAAAACTGCAAAGGGCAGCTTGCGAAGGCAACATGAATTAAAAAGCCAAAAGGGGAGAATACATTCAGCATTGTCAAGCTGGGAGAATTTGAAGAAAAAAATGTAAGCCTTGAGCTGCACTATTGAAGAATACTATGGGAAAAATATTGAATGGGTCAGGCTGCAAAAAAGAAGATGGAGTCATTGTACCTAAAATACAACGATTAAGAACCAATAGTATTGAAGGCAGTTACATTGCAGGCAGTAGTGAAAAGTCTCCAGGAGTAGACAATGTATTAATTGAAATGTTTCAACAAACCAATAAGGCAGTGGAAGTAATTGTGTTTGCTAAGAAATTTGGAAGGCAATTACCTGGCCAACTGACTCGAAGAGGTCCACTGTTGTGCTCATTCCAAAGAAAGGTGATTCAACAGTGTAGAAATTAGGGAATGATGTCAGTATCACATACACATAACATTTTGCTGAAAAAATACTCAACAGTGTTGCAGCATTACATAGCTGCTAGAAATCAAAGACATTCAGAAGTGGGCACGGAATGAAGGTTAACTGCTGAGGTCAAAGGGATTTTGACAATTGAGAGAATACCACAAAGGTGTTTACTTGTATTTTATTGACTATAGGCATTCAACCATGCGGAATATAACAAACTATGGATAACATTAAGAATGGGAATATAGAACACTTCATTGTGCTCACGTGGAACCTCTGGGCGGACCCAATAGGCAATCATCCTTACAGAACAAGGATGTTCTCTTTTTAACTGAGTTAAAATGAGGAAAAGTGTGTCAGGGTTTGTATTTTTTCACTATACTTAATCCATATGCTGAGCAAATCTTAAGAAACTAGACTTATGAAGAACAACCTCAGGATTAGAGGAAGGCTTATCAGCAATGTGTGATATGTAGATGACAATGATGAAGCACTTGCTGATAAAGATCAAGGATTACATCCTTCAGTGTGGAATACAACTCAGTATAAAGGAAGCAAAAATCGTCTTAACTGGACCAACAGGAAATAAAACGGAGAAAAGATTGAATTCGTCAGTGATTTTTGTCTTACTTGAATCCATATCATTGATTATAGAAGCAGCTGTCAGGAAACAGTGGGTTGCATTGGTTAAATCTGATGCAAAGCAAGGATGCTGATGCTATTTTGAGGACTAAGTTATACCATGGTATTTTCAATTGCCTCATGTTGTGAAAGTTGGACATTGAATAAAGAAGACTGAATAAGAACGGATGGCTTTTGAAATACAGTATTAGCAAAGATTATTGAAAAGTGCAGTGGACTGCCAGAAGAATAAATTTGTCTTGGAAGAAATACACCAGAATCATCCTCAGGGATGATGACAAAACTTCGCCTCCTGTATTTTGGACATGTTAACAGGAGAGATCAGTCCCTAGAACATCATGCTTAGTTAAATAGAAGGTCGGTGAAAAGAAGAATCTCAACAAGAAAGATGATTATATAGGACTGGACAATTATACATATGGTCACTATGGGAACTATTTCAACAGTACCTAACAGCAACATGTATTAGTTTGCCCATAACATAAGCAAAATTCTTAATTTATTGCCCAAAGAAGTCAGAACACAATACATGCACTTGAGGGCACTAGCAGTTTCTTTGTATTCTGTGTAAATATAAGGAAACTTGCTTTCCCCACTGTGAACTATACCTAGCGGCCTTTTGTGCTTTTTGTTCACATTCCTAGAATTAGCACATCCTTACAGAGTCCTTTGCCTATCAATGTGTGCTGCTTGCTCAGTATGCTGGAATGTGCATGGATTGTAGAGTGGGTTCCACCCTGGAGGACTTAAATGCCTGTAAATCATTTGATGGTTATCACTGACCTGGAGCGTAGTGTGAAGAGTAGTAGGTGCCTTAAAGTCTGCCGAAAATGAAGATGAATTTAGGAAATGACGTATTAATATATCTTTCCAGGAATGCGTAATGATTACAGATTCTCACCACCACTGGTCTCAGTTTTGAAGAGCTGAAAGCTTTCTCATTACTCGGTTTAGTTTTAAACTGACATAGTGCAATTCCTTCTCCAATTCTACAGCATATAAAAAGAGTCTAGAAGGTAATTAGAAAGAAAGAAGGAATCAATAATATATTTGTTAAAAAAAGAGATTGTTCTATGTTGTTCCTTATTATTAAATGCCTTGAGTAGAAAGATAGTAGTATAACCACCTAAACACATATCTAGTATTGTCTGGCCAGTTGCCGGTGTAATATTCTAAAGCTATGGAGAAAAATATTTGTTCTATGTATCAAATATAAGTGGAAGTTCCTTAGCGATGTAAGAACAAATATGTCTGTCACCTTATACTTAATCAAATGTAACCTGATTTCCATTTCATTTGAAAATTGGGTTAAAATGGGTGAGAAGCGATGTTTTTAAAGATTAAGGTTCTGGGTTCAGGAAAGCAATGTGTGACTTTAGTTCTCCAACCCCCAGATTATAATCATAAGACTCTTGTGAGAAGAAATGCTTACTCTCGGAATTCTTGTTGAGTGACAGGCTGGTAGTCATCTTCAATTTCTGTTGAGTAATACTTTTCCTCAAGCCTCTCTTTCCATTTTTTCATCTGCTCTGCACTTCGAATTTCCTGTCAAGATAGAAGGAAAGAATAGGCTAACCTTTAAAAGAAGCATTACAGAGTTGAGGATCTTAGACTATTGTCACTTTCAGGGATCTGATTTTGAACTCTGCTGGTTTTTGGTTTTGCCTGTTTTTTTATGTTGCGGTGCCACGGAGTCCTCATAGCAGTCCTATGTATAACAATAAAACACTGCCTGCACTCATAATCATTTTATGTTTAAGTCAGTCCCTCCTGACAGCATGTCCAAAG